AACAATCGTCGCACCACATAACATGGGAAAGGGCAAGTGAAGCGGCTCTGGTTGGCCTATAAAGGCATAGAGTTATTATAATGTACGCTAGAGGTTCAACTGGCGCTAGTGTCTATGCGACTTCCGTGACGCAAATTGAAGCAGACAGCAACCAGTCTACTTTTCCATTCTTCCTGTGCATTCCTATGGGAAAGCGCGCGTGCATTTTGTCTCTTCGCCGGAAAATAACACGGAACACTTTGGTTATTTATGTCGTACCGAATAGTATGTACCTTGATTAACACTGTAAAAGTGTAATTGCTTTAGTTAGCGCATTTTTCTTCATCAGTGACCGATGTTTAACTTCGCTACATTTCAGTCCCAAACGTGTGTTGCGCAGCAGGTGTGTAAAAACAATCGACGATTCGAAGCAAAATTACAATCGAAAGGAATGTAGAGAGTGTTCAAGGCTCGCCAGCAATCCGGTGACGCTTATATATTGATAATATGCCAGTCCTGTCACTATATAAAAATGACCCCGTCGTGCATGAGCGGATAAAAACATTCAAAACGTAGAGAATAAAGTCCGTGAGCTATAAAAGTTGTCTCTTCGTATTGTTTTCTCTGCCGGGCAGCTTTTATCGGGCACTTGTTCTCAAAGATTTCGGGCGTGCGAGTGATATTTTAAACTTAGAACAAGCAGCTCTGCTCAGAGCAGAAAGAATAAAACGGTACTTACTTATTTAAAATAGGAATAGATTACGTAATTTTGATCGTATATGCACGTGTAGTTACTGATCCGGTGTTACTGCGTAGTTCTTGCCGTCTTTCTTAATTTCCAGATGTTCTTCGTTCGTTTGGCACGTATATTCCCCACGCTGAAAAGCGCCGACGTCGTGTTCGCGCTAACAGTGTCCGACAGTGCACATAAATACACGTACGAAGCTGTTTTAGCACCGTTTTTAATGCGATGAATTTGATAGAAAAACACCGTAACTGACCAATTCTTTCGTCGGCCTGACTGAGAAATGTTCCAAGCTTCCTAGAACGTATGAATTATTCGGGATATTTGCTCTTATGATCGAGCGCAGAGAGAAAATACACTCACTTTTTCCCACAGAAATGCATTACCGGAAGTCAATTTTGGACTGGTTGCTGTCTGCTTCAATTTGCGTCAGCACACTAGCGCCACTTGAACCTCTAGCGTACATTATATAATAACTCTATGTATAAAGGCTTTCGCCTACCCGAGGTCCATAGCAAAAATCCGGGCTTCCATGGCCGCCGGACAGGCCGGTTGAATAGATGGATGGTAACTGCTATGCCCCTTGTTTCGGGCGGCAACCTGAGCCACCTAGCCGACATTAGAGACTGGTGCTGATGGCAATGGAGCTACGAATGCAAACAAGCAGCGTACAGGATGATGCTGTTTGCTTGCATTCGTGGGAGAACGGTGGCCGGAAAGAAGAAGACGCCGTTCGAAACGGTCGTGTTTTCAATGCTCTCCAGTGAAAACGCACCGGCCACAGGCCGGGGAACTGCTGAGGCTTCGGCCAGTACCACCGAAATGACGACTGAAGAGTACCGGACCGTACTTCCCCGTCTACCGACAGGTAATTTGAGTCTTAATTCTGTCTTTCTACACGGAGATCTCGCCGCGCGGCCATACCGAGCAACAGACTTCCGAGACGCTTTGCGGGACGTGGTTGACAGCCAGGATATCATCGGAATCGGCCAATTCCAGATGAGTCACGTCTGGATGGTGACCTGTGCAAGCGCTTTGGCCAAGGCCAAACTTGTGACCAAAGCAGAGCTCCGAGTAAAGGGGCGCCGATGCCTAATCATCGACCCGGACACCAGAGACGTCAAACTGAAACTTCTTTGGCTACCAGTTCACATGGACAACCAGCGTATCGAAGAAGCACTGGCGCCTTTTGGCACGGTCCGTTCGATTGTTAGAGAAAAATGGCGCTGCGCCGGAATGGAGCAGATGGAGACGCTAAACAAAGAAGTGACGTTGACCCTTCACGAGGGAATGAACGCGAGCCAGATACCGCACCAGCTCACAGTGTTCGGCTGTCGAAGCTTGGTGCTCGTGCCTGGCCGCCCTCCACTGTGTCTACGATGCTACCGAATCGGTCACATTCGTCGCGAGTGTAGGACCCCAAGATGCGGTGAATGCCGACGTTATGGTCATCCAACAAGTGAGTGCGTCACCACCTATGCGGACAAGCTCCGACAAGCAAGAAGCCCAGCTGAAGATGTCGTTTTAGAACACCTAATGGACATAAGCGAAGTGGTCGATGCAACAGGAGAAGTCACCCCTTCCAGCACCACTTCAGGGGTACAGCTGACGGCCCCACTGCACCCACCACCTGACGTCAACCCTGAGTCGGCGACGATCACCACTGAATCTGAAAAGCCTGAATCGCTTTTGCAAGACAGCGAATTCCCTCCTTTAAGTACGACGTCAACGGATGCTTCACAGTTTTCATTACATCGACGAGAGCGCTCGACCACGTCCAGTGGAACATCTGTCAAACGACCCGCCCCAATATCGGAAAAATCGTCTCAGTCGTCTACCACGGATGTCGCGATCGGCCACAACAGCGACGAGAGAGGCGACGCAAAACGCAGGCCAGCTGAGGTGTGTGAGAACCATTACAGTAAGGCCACACGGCCTGCTGACGTAGTGAAGGACGGTGATGAACTACCCCCTTAGCTAACACCTCCCTGGCATTTCCTCCCCTGAGCTTCGCAACCATCAACGTCAGAGGACTGTGTTCGCGTGCACGTCAGTCCCAACTGTATAGGGTCCTCTCAAAGGAACAGATTGACTTTGTTGCCGTCCAGGAGACAAAGATATCGTCCGACGAGGACACAGCTCGTGCATTGGACCCTTTCCTCTCAAGTTATGAGGTATGTGTGAGCCACGCGGATGGCTTGTCGGGAGGGTGCCTTTTATTCTTAAAGAAGAGACTAGAATACTCGTCATTTTCACATGCTGTGGATGATAAGGGCAGGTTTATATGCTGTGATTTTTTCTTAAATGGTATCTCCTGGCGTTTAATTTGCATTTATGCCTACAATGATGTTCGACAAAGACGTTTGTTTTTTGAAAATCTCACCCCTTTTCTTGACACCGACAGGCAAGTTGTTCTGTTTGGTGATTTCAATTGTGTCTGTAATATCAGTGATAGATCAGTGCCTCCTACAAGACCTGACAGCAGTGCTGACATACTAAACAACCTCACATACGACTTCCACCTATTTGATGTCGGTGCTTCTCAGGTTACTGCTAGTCGATTCACACACATTGATGCTTCATGTAACGCGAGGCTTGACCGAGTTTACGTTTCAAGCCAACTTTTTTCGCATGTGGCTACTTATGAAGTAAAACCCATGTCCTTTTCTGATCATTGCCTTGTAAAGGTTCGTATTGGGGCAGACGTACGTCATAAGTCACGTCCAAAATGGGAATTATGGAAATTGAACACAAGGCTTCTTGGCACTGATGATTTTCAAAAACGTGTTCGTGAATGTTTTAACAATATGTCAACGAATGAAAAATTCGGCATTTTCGCCCAATGGGACTCATTTAAACAAGAGGTCAAAAATGAAGCGATTGAATTTGCTTGTATTGTGTCTTTTCACGCAAAGAAAGACGAAACTGCCCTTTTGCGAAACCTAAATAGCCTTCACGAATTGGAATGTGAAAAATCTGGTGAGTTTCAGGAAGAAATCATTCTTATCAAAAGTCAGCTGCAGCGCTATGAGCAAAATCGCTATAATGGTGCACTGGTACGTTCTAGGTGTAAGCGTTTCTTGTCATCTGAGACACCCTCGCGGCGTGCCATTGATGATGAAAGACGCCATGGGCTTTCCAAAAAAAATCAAACTTTTGGACTGCAACGGAACCCTCTCAACCAACGATGTTGATATAATGCGCACATTCGAATCCCACTACAAAAACCTATTCCAGAAAACGCCATCTTCCAACAGTCAAATGACAGACACTTTAGTTTCCATGTTGCCTAAAGTAAGTGAGATTCAACGCGAACTACTCAGTGGACCAGTAACGCTGGAGGACATTCAGAGTGCGATAGATGAGTTGCCTAACTCTAAAACGCCAGGACCGGATGGACTCCCAGCTGAGTTTTACAAGGAGCATAAGGAACTACTGTGCCCTTTCTTACACAAAGTATTTCTTGAAGCTTACGATAGTGAACGCTTACCACCATCTTTTTATAGCAGCCATACAGTATTAATCCCCAAAAGTAAGGATGCAGATAAACTTATACACGTAGAAGGATATCGCCCTATTACTCTCTGCAATGTGGACTATAAGATATTCGCTAAGATTCTGACAAAACGGCTTCAGTTCGTCGCTTCTAGTGTTGTTGGCGACCATCAGACATGTGGAATTAGGGGGCGAAGCATACAGACCAATATACACGTCGCACGTTCGGTCATAGAGAGCTGTACTCGGCATAACAACCAGGTCGCCATAGTCCAAGTAGACTTGGCGAAAGCCTTTGACCGCGTATCTCATAACTTCCTTTTCGCCATTCTTAGACACATAAACCCAGGACCAACGTTGTTGAAAGGAATCGAACTATGTTACCGAAGCTGTGCTACCCGTCTCATTGTTAATGGTTCACTCTCGACTCCTATAAATTTAGAATCGTCTGTTAAACAAGGGTGTCCCTTATCCCCTCTTTTGTTTGCTCTTTACTTGGAACCTCTTTGCTTGAGCGTACTTTCCAACCCTACAGTGGACGGTTATCATTTTTATTCCGCGGAAGTAAAAGTGTTAGCCTATGCTGACGATATAGCGTTTTTCTGCGCTGATAAGAAAAGTGTCGATAATGTCTTTACCTTAACCCAGACATTTTGTGAAGCATCGGGAGCGTTGGTAAATAACTCAAAATGCGTTGGCTTCTGGTGCGGCCAGTGGGCCACAACACCTTCGAAGTATGCTGGTATTTCGTGGAGCTGTGTAGCTCCTCAGTATTTAGGAGTACCGTTGAACTGCATTCGAAACAGTGGCCATTACTGGTCTGAGCGTGCGGCAAAGATCAAACGTCAAGCCAATTTAATGAAATCAAATCGGTGGTCAATCTTTGGACGCGCAAAAGCATGTAACATTTTCCTTGTAGCGAAACTCTGGTACGTGCTCCAGGTGATTTGCTGTGCGAGAGGCCAAATTAAAAAATTCCATAGAGTTTTTGCGACTTTTGTCTGGGATTCCACTTGGGAACCCATGCAACGAGACAACCTTTTTCGCTCCATTGATACAGGGGGACTTGGGCTGATTCATCTATTTTTAAAACAGGTGGTTGTTCGTTTTATGTTCTTCCGAACTGTATCCCATCATTTCCTGCGCACTTACGTGCAGACAGAACTTTCAGAAGCTTTACCATACTTGGTAGTCTCATCTGTGCCTGTAGGCACATTGCGTCCTTTCGGTTTCCTTGGAGAGGTAGTTAGCGCGATTGAATTTTTGAAAACCCGGTTTTCTCTGGAGTATTTATTTAAAGTTCCCCGAAAAACAATTTATGCTGATCTGATAGACGTTGTTTTTCCTGTACCTTTGTATCGAAGCGTATTTGGTAACGGTTCGGAACAAGATGTTTTTAAACGTGTGAAGAAAATGCGAGTGTCACCTTCTGCAAAAACCTTTTTCTTTAAACTTCACACTTCCACGCTACCTGTTAAGCCTTGGCTTCAAGAAAAAGGCATTTTCGTTCCGTGGTCAGTGAACTGCCGCCTTTGTAACCAACCGGAAACTATAGAACATTGTTTTATTTTCTGCACTGATGCTTACCTATTCTGGGATGTGTTACAAAGAACTGTGAAAAAAGATTTAAATATAAGTGCCTACACAATCCGTTTTCTACCTTTAAACCCGAATGACAGCTTCCCTTATGATCTGTTTACACTGATGGGTTTGCATAGTCTCTGGAAAACGAGAATGATTGACAGAAATGCTGATGCTCCCCGGACAACAAAGTCGAATTTTATAGAAACTGTATCACATGTACGAAATGTATTTGACCATCTCGGTGAACGCCCAGACTGGTATGCTCTCTTAAATCGATGCATTCATCTTCCGGATTTTTAGACGTATTATTCAATACAGAATACTTTGTTGAGTTGTGAAACCGCACTCGAACCTATGAGGGGAACTAAACCCCCACGATGGTGTGAATTTAGATGAACGAAATGTATGTCGACGCCTGTACATGACACCTAACGCCAACCTTGGTGTACCGTGATTTCAAGTGCCTTGTGTTTTCTGACCAAATACCATGTAATAAAAAAAAAAAAAAAAAAAAAAAAAAGAGAACGGTGGCCGAGTGGGCTAACGCACCACAGCTCGGAGCACGTGTAGCGAAAGCTCGCGCTGCAGAACTCAGAGCACTGGGTTCAAATCCCCGTCCCTGCCCGGTTCGATCTGGACGAGCATCGTACCGGCTGCGTTCGTATAGCCATGACTGGTGGTGCACGTTAAAGACTCCAGGTTTTCGGTCGTACCGCACTGGCCACACTGCCCATCTACAGCGAAGAAACAGTATCGCCAAATTCAGGCAGACTAACCTCGCGCTGTGTAAATATTCACACAACGACCAATTTCACTTTTTCTTTTGGCTTGCATTCGTTCCAATAAGCTTTCTATTCATTTGCGCGCTCCAATAAATTACCAGTTGCCACAAATCTCTTCAAGTAACCGCATGTTTTTTGTTTTGTTTTTTTGGGATGAGGACGATTCGTCACATGCGCACTCGTCACAGGAAGATTGGTCACAGGACGATTCGTCACATAGGAACATTCGTCATAGGATAACTGGTAACAGGACCATTCGTCACAGTGGAACATTCGTCATAGGATGATTCGTCCACCAGACGATTGGTCAGACTCACAGCGAGTGTTCCGGGAATGGTATTAGTTTTTAAACCGTAATTTTAAGCAACTGACTATGTTCGCTGAATTGCAGTAACAATAATATCAAGCTATTGTTCATTGTATGTTTGGCAGCACACACATTTGAAATCAAAGACCAACGTATGTATAATTGCATTGGACGGGTGAAATTGTTTGTTCAGTCCGTTGTGCATTGGAGCATGAAATGCTTGTATCAGGCGTTTTGAAATACATGTTCGGAAGACGGAAGACTTGATAGAACAATTTTATTGGAGAGAATCGAAAGGCAAGGTTTCGCGCAAGCGCCCTCAGGCACTCCATGCGGCGGGGGCTGCTGTAGTTTTCGACGATAAATCTGATGCGCTTGTTACAGTCCGCGTGCTTTTTTGAGACTCTTGTTAACGTCGTCCCGCCTTGAGCCTGGGCAATCTTCATCTCGGTCAGAGACTGCTCCTTCTTCAGGCAGTCCAAGAAGAACCAGAGGTTTGGCGCTGTACAGCCCACGTTCCTCTGAAGAGAAAAAAAAAATCAAAACGACGTTATATATTTAAAAAGTGTAAACTTTAGGACGTAGGAGAGGAATGGCACATTGAAATTAGCACTACGTGTTCCCGGTTCGTCTCCCTGTTCGCTGTATTCTTTGTGATGTTTCCATTTTGCCGCCAATGTTATGAAGGTAGTACAAAATTGAACCAGCTGGTACACACAAGGTTATCAATATAATTTCCCCCGCCCCAACAACTTCAGTATGCATAACCCTAAAAAAGACAATTTGGAACCCATATTCCGATGCAAACAGCATATCATGCTTTCGCTTCTGTCCTCGTTTGTTAATGTGGTAATTAGCATTATGTACGCATGACGAGTCTCATTGTTATGCAATAACCATTCTCACCTATACGTATAGCTGGTGCGTAACACCCACTTGCCCAACCTTAGAAAACTTACCTGGAAACCTCTGTGCCACGCCTCGACGCTGTTATTCGTTCTTGGCATGTCCTCCAAAGTCGACTCTCTGACGGACCACACCTCTGGCGGAAAGAGTGCGGAGCACAGGCCATTCCGTCGGGGTCTGCCGACGTAGGTGTCCTCAAAATAGTTCGCCACTGGAACTGCCTCCACCGGGATTACCTCCAATAAATCTTGAAAGGCTTCTGGGATTTCAGCGGTCGGGAGAAATGCCAGCGATGGGAACATCCTCATCTGAAGAATGAAAAGAAGAATATTGCTGTATTGGGATTGACATCAAAGAGCTCTCATATCATATTCATAGAAGTTCAGGTCACTCACCAGCACTGCAAAGTCCTCTTGTGTGTTGTATGTACTCTGCAGGCCGGAAGCGCAGACCCTCCGGTACACCGACTGGCTCAGATGGAAAAAACACCCTTGAATCCTGGCGCTAGGTATAAGACCTTGGACGGCATTCATAGCCGCGATCTCAAAGTCCGAGTACACGACTTCAATGCTGTGGCGACGCATGGCGTTCAGAAGAGCAGCAAAAAACCAAGCAAAAGTATTAAAAAAAAAAAGTTTCCGTCACGAAAATATTTTAAGTAATTATTTCCTACCGCAACCATTTGCTCACTCTAGACAGGAAAACTAATGTAGGAGAAACGAAACCACTGGTGATGCTGCAAAGATACGAGTAATTACCTTCTGTAAGTGTCTTCTGACTTGCTAGGTACAGACCGTATGCCATTGGCATTACCACTCCATGAAGTACAGCGTGCACTGTATAAAGCTGGTAGAATAGAGGTGGCGTCACCTTGAAGGTCCCGTCTACTAGCAACACGGTAGACTGAGCCAAGTGGTGCAAGTTCTTCTCGGTTGCGAAGATGTGGATTCTTGCTGAGTCGCCATCTCCACTATCATGCAGGAGAAAGGACTCGCCTTTGCTTGTCACCTGCAATGAGATGCAGAAAGCATTAAGAGAAATCCATACCGCCATCGATCACCAGGTCATTACCTTGAACTCCACGGGGACTCTGATGTCTCCTCTGGTGGACGGAATACTGTAGCTGAATGTCGCGCGCTGCCTTTGCTTCCGTATGACTCGCCGCAGGGACGACGGGGCAGGCATCTGAGAAGCGGTGTCGTCACTGACGGCAGATGCAGCGTCTAAAAGAATTTGGTGTGGAGTTTCGCGGCTCCCCACTGTGACGAAAAAAAAAATTGTTAAGAAACATAATTTTTTTATACTAAATGTAGAAACGTTTCGGCACAAACCTGCTTTTTCTTTTATCCGATGACGGGTCCTGAGCAGGTTGAGTTCCGTTGGGTCTCCCGCATGCGTGTGGCTGCTTGAAATGGCAATGATTCGACTGGCATCCGGATCTGTTGTCATTTTCGCCTTGCATTCACCTCTCTTGCGACATATCCAGTAGCACGTTGACTCGTTCTTTCTGCTGCATGTATACGAAAACCCGTCATGAAGGAGCATCGCTCCACCTCTCTCCGTAGCTATCACTTCCATTTTGAGAAGTGAAGCCAGAGACCCAAAAAGTCGACTTTTTGGGTCTCTGGCTTCACTTCTCTGGCAAGCGCCCTCAGGCATGGAGTGCCTGAGGGCGCTTGCGCGAAACCTTGCCTTTTGATTCTCTCCAATAAAATTGTTCTATCAAGTCTTCCGTCTTCTGAACATGTATTTCAAAACGCCTGATACAAGCATTTCATGCTCCAATGCACAACGGACTGAACAAACAATTTCACCCGTCCTATGCAATTATACATACGTTGGTCTTTGAGTTCAAATGTGTGTACTGCCAAACATACAATGAACAATAGCTTGATATTATTGTTACTGCAATTCAGCGAACATAGTCAGTTGCTTAAAATTACGGTTTAAAAACTAATACCATTCCCGGAACACTCGCTGTGAGTCTGACCAATCGTCTGGTGGACGAATCATCCTATGACGAATGTTCCTATGTGACGAATCGTCCTGTGACCAATCTTCCTGTGACGAGTGCGCATGTGACGAATCGTCCTCATCCCGTTTTTTTTATCACAGGGAACAAACAAATATATGAAAGAAAAGTAGAGGATCCAACATTACATTGCAATTTCTTAGCAAGCTAGCCAAGACTAGACTGCAGCGTCTTAGCGATCATGGCAATGGCGCGTAGTGAGAAGGTAGTATGTGGCCCTGCGCCTGTTTTGAGAATGCGTTTCAGCGCGTCCGATGATATATGTCTTTTGCAAGAGGCCGTCAATGCAGCACCATTTTCCAACCGGGCGAAGTGGTGCGAGACGGCGACGGCTAGCCCTCGACGGATGCGTTTGGCTTGAGGCGCGACCAGTATCCAACAGCTTAGCTGACAAATTAAGTTACTTGGTCGTATACCAAGGAAGTACCACTATAACTACTCGTAATGAGGAAAATATTTTTTAAAAGTGGCTTTTTATGCGGCATTTGTACAAATAAATGTACCGCTTTAAAAACGAACCACGCCGGTATTCACTATCATCATTATGACTTTTTCCAGCCGTTGGAGAAAGAAGAAACTTCCATAGGCGCGGTCAGGCGCGGTTACGGTATGCTAAAACGTTCTTTACCCGCTACGCTCTCGGTCCGGTACCGGCTCGATGGTCGCGGTCGCGGTAACCCCGGCGGTCGCCCGGTACGCGGTAAGCTAAAACTCTCTACTGTCTAACATACCGTCTAACATACCTCTCAGCAGTGCTAAGCCTCGCGCCCGCTTCGAAATTTTCGTTGGCGATAGCGTCGCTGGATTCTCACGTTGTCGCGCAAAAACTGCTGCAAACGCAAGCCGATACCATCAAGATTTCGTGGCGTAACCTCGGGCACGTAAAACACGGTGCAAAAAAGCAGAATAATTGTCACGAGAAACTATAGCATCGCGTTGCTAAGGCCAGCAGCCATGTTGAGCTTTTTTTTTTTCAAAAGGATCGCGATTGGTCCACAGAATCGTGACGTCATGAAAACAATTGGCTGGCGTTTCTCGGCGTAGGATTACATTTTCCTCTGAGAGGCATTTCCGGTTTTTTCTTAGCTTGCAACCGACTATAGCATTGTCCGTCCGGCGTCCGTGCTCACATCGATCTTGCTGGTGCTCGTGCTGACGATCGTGCTCGTAAGCTCACGTGCTCGTGTAAGGCAACAAAAAAAATGAGAAAAAAAAATGTTTGCGCAGTCGACAGGGTTCGAACCTGTCCGGAGAGACCCCAATGAATTTCTAG